AATATTGGAGATAAGGGGAGGAGGTCACAGCAGAGAACGCAGTCCCATCCAGCTCCTTCTCTGGTCTTGAGGAGAATCCTTCTCCTCTTCAGTAAGGCATTGAGAAAGGCAATTTTCTACTCATCCATTACCTTTTACATCTTTCTCTTTCATGTGAGCTTCCAACTCCTCCTGAGACTATCAGAGCAGGCCACTTGATTTTTGGAAGATTAAACTTTCAGATGCTGCAAGTTCAAATTGAATCAGATTATACTGTCTATGCTTGCTGTCTTGATTGAACACTTGTAACCCATGCACAAAATAGAAAACCTGAAATTCTTAATCCATCTCCTGTTGAACCAGAAAGTGCAATGCTGTGGCCCACTGGGAAAGCCATGTGTGGTGAACTACACAAGCAACTCCGTCTCAGAAACTTACTGTTGGGTCTCCACAAAGCTGTCTGGAAATCTGTATTTCCTACTGGGTAACTAGTCAGAGGTTCTCACGCACCCTCCATGAGCTGACTTGCAAGCAAAAGAAATGAACTGATTTTAAAGATTTCATCTGCCTTCGAGATGAACAGCCTGACTTTCAGAAAGGTTAAGATTAGTCAGAATTAATTTGTGTGAAGTAATGCTAAGCATACAGATGGAAAACATTTGTGTTCTGATTGCATATAAATCAGGAATTTTGGCTAATACATGTTTATAACGTTATAACATAAGCATATCCCAAAGGTATTGAACAGGGACAAACACCATGCTACCAAAACCGTAGAAACTGCTTTCTTAGTCAAAACACTGATAGAAGGCTTTTATAAGTATGGAAACACTCAAGTTTCAAATGGGTTGCTTATTATTCTCCCATCACAGTGCCTATTTTTAATAAATCTTACTTCAGAAGTTGCTTTGTTCTCAGTATAATCAACATCTATTTAAGTAAAGGAAAATTATGTTCAGAGACTTAAGAAATCTGAATACTATTACAATTTTAAAACAATTACAATTATAAACATGTATTATTAAATCTCTGATTATAAATATATTTATTTATTATATAAAGAGATTAGAGATTACAGTATTATAAATATAAGCCTAATACAATGATTTGTTTTTTGTTTTTTTTTTTGGTTTTTTGTTTTGTTTTTCACTGTGTAGTTCTGGCTGTTTTGGAACTCCCTCTGTAGATCAGGCTGGTCTCAGTTTCATGGAGTTCTGGGAATAAAGGTGTGCATCACCACTGCCTGAATTAATATAATGTTTTGCTATAATTTGTAAAGTAAAATATGTCCTTGCTGGATAAGTGATTCCAAATGTAAATTCAGGTACAATTTTAGTTTTATGAGGTCCCCCAAAAGTGTTCAATATTTTAAAATTCCAAATGGACTAGTTCATTCACAATCTATGTTCTCAAGTATAAAGTAGGCAAAGAAATGAAAATTAAGATTTTACAAACTGACATTTCTAAACTGATCAAACTATATGCTTTAAATAGAGGCAGATTTTGGATACCGATTATACCCCAATAAAGCCAGTTTTATAACTTGTCTAAAATTGATGATTTGTGATCCTGTGTCAAATAAAATCCAACTGGCTCCCAATTTCAAGTTAGGCTGTGATTTGGGTAAGTTTTGTTCTCTCTAAAACAGTCTTCACACTGATAATACTTGCCCAAGGGAGCAGGAACTCTAATTGATTAGACACTGAATTCCAAGCACATGGGACCCTGCCAGAAACATGGTAACTTTACATATTACATCCATTTGCCTTTATTTGTAAAAATAATTAACTATATTTTACCATAGTGAATTCTTAAAAAGTTCAGAGAGACGATGCTGTCTTCTAAGAGACACTTAGCAAATGTCACTTCTATGGATGACTTTGGGTAACCTATGCTGTGCACAAAGTTGCCAATCCTCAACGTTCCTAAGAATAACTGTAATAACTACATGGAAAATATAGATTTTCCAATTAATATGATTTTGTTTTGAGGAGAAAGGTGTTTAATTATGTTTCAGTATTCGGTGTTTAAGCTGCATTTAAACAGTTTCCAGTAGAAATGAAAATTAATATCAATTTTGAGCTGTAAGGTCTTGAGAAGTAAATAAAGGACAGCAAGCTTTACTCTTCTTCTTTAGAATCATGTGTCCAAGTCTTATCTCCACAGCACGTCTTGCCAAAATAGACAAAAAAAAAAAATGTGTGACTTATGTTCTGGACAGCACCTAAGAAAATACCCAACATTGGCCAAGAATTAAAGAAGACAAAGTCAGCTTGCTCCTCCAGTGAAACCTAGAATCTGATCTGTCATATGTGCCACCATGTTTGCCCTCAAAAGATCATCCCAGACATGTAGTCATGACCTCTGTGACTTTTTGGAGCCTTTGTTTCATTCAGCTCACTTTTAGGTCCTCCCAAACACTTATGAAGACCAACAGCTCCTTCTTTACCATTGCTGAATGACATTTTTTTTATAATGCTCTTTTCCACAGATTGCTTACCCATTTGCTTTCTAAAGAGTATTTCAGTTGCTTCCAGGATTTGGCAGTTATGAAAAAGCAACTTTAAACTTTTGTGAATATGATTCGGATGAAGACAAGTTGTTTGTCTGTTTATTTCTATCTTACTTACTCATCAATAATCCACCACTAGTGTCATTTATAAAAGGAAATATTAAAGGCTAATATTATTTAAGAAATTGGTCTCATGATATTTCTCCACTACCTCTTTAAATCTTATATTAATAGGTAAAGCACTGTGGTAGTATTTAATATTTTAGCTCATCATTTAAGCTAACATTGTAGATATATCACTAGCACTGCTATAAAGAAGCCAAGCATGGTGGCACTATTAATCCTGGCATGTTGAGGCAAGAGAATCACATGCTAGAAGGTGCCATTCATGAGACAGAAAGAGAAACGGCCATGATAAAACATTTCATCAACTATACTGGTGTCTTGACCTTGGACTTTCCAGAACACGGAGAAATAGACTTTTATTGCTTTTAAACCACATTGTTTATGGAATTTTATTGTGACACCATAAAAATTCTAAGACAAAGACTATCCATCCTACTCTGTCAGAAATGTCTAACATGGGAAGGATTTAATGAAATGTAATACAATTCTATTTCGATTCAAAACATATTAAAAGTATAAATAAGAATATGAGCTTAGTGGTAGTTTATAGCTTCTGCTGGAGTAAGAATCATTATCGTTTGGGGGAGTGGTCACTAGGGGTTACTTATTCTCCAGTGGATGGTCCTGAATCCATGAACACATGGCATGACCCATCATTTTACTGTCTCTAAGAAATATACCTCATGCCCAGTGACAGACAGCACCTTAACAGTAAGCACTGGAAAAAAGCAGTCTAAGAAAATGAAACCAAGAACCAAACTATTCTAATATCCAACTAAATTGACTTTAAAAATAATACTAACTAGAAGAGCTAAAGGCAGATAATTTATTCTTATTAAAGAAAAATTCAAAACTAGAATATTACTAAAATGGTAAATAGGTATGCACCAAATGTAGAAATAATCAAATTCACATAACAAACAAGCAAACAAACAAAATACTATTAGATTTAAAATCATTAATTGACCCCCAGCACAGTGATAATGAGGAATTTCAGTAACCCATTTGGAGAATTGAATAACAATGTCTCCTATAGTCTCATGTATTGAGCCCTTGGTTCTCAGCTGTTGGCACTGTTTGGGGAGATTTAGAGGGTTCAGAATATTGGAGGAAGTATGCCACTGGAGGCTAGCTTGGACAGTTTAAATACTCATGCCATTTTGTCTTAGTTGCATTTTTATTGTTGAAATAAACAGCATGATCAAGAAAAATTATAAAATAAAGCACTCAATTGGGCTTATAGTTTCAGAGGGTTGGAGCCTCTGATGATAGAGCCAGGGCATGGTGTAGTGATAAGAGCAGCCGGGCTACGTTTGGCGCCACTCTGTTGTGGGAGCAGCAGGGCTGTGTTCTGGCAGCCCTGGCTCCCACATGGCAGGCTTATGCCCCGAAATAATTACACAGAAACTGTATTCTTTTAAACACTGCCTGGTCCGTTATCTGTAGCCTCTTATTGGCAAGCTCTTACATATTAATCTAACCCATTTCTAATAATCTGTGTAGCCCACGAGCTGGCTTACCAGGAAAGATCTTAACCTGCATCTGTCTGGAGTGGGAGCATCATGGCGACTCCTCCACTAAGCTTCTTTCTCCCAGAATTCTCTTCTGTTTTCTCCACCCACTTATGTTCTAACCAATAAAATGGGCCAAGGCAGTTTCTTTATTATAATTAACCAATGTCCTTCCTCCATCAGCATGGTGTCAGGAACAGCTAAGAGCTTCCATCTTGATCCACAAACAGCAAGCAAAGAAAAGGAATGCCAGAAAGATGCAAGTCTTTTGACACACCTTCCCAACAAGGTCACATCTCTTCATCCTTCCCAAACAAATGGAGCAGCTGGGGACCAAATATTCAAAAAGATGAACATATAAACCATTCTCACTAGAACCACCGAACACTTCTTGTTTTCTCTGTTTCATGCTTGTGGTTCAAGATTAGTGCTATAACTTTGACTCCTGCCTCCATGCCTGTCTCTTATTGCCATATTTTGTCACTATGATGAACACTTATCCTCCTGGAACCACAAGCCAAAACAAGCTTTATTACATAAGTAGCCTTGATTGAGGTGTTTATCACACCAAGAGAAAGTCTCCAATACAGAAGCTCTTACTAGAGTGTATCACTGTTGTGAAACCCCTGACAGTGTTGTTTTGGGGGGAGTACAGAAGACGTGGGATTTTGGACTAGAAAAGCAGCTGAATGCTTTAGGCAAAGCTTCATCAGTTGCTCTTGATGGAGGTGGGTCTTGTAATAATAAAGAAACTGCCTTGGCCCATTTTATTGGATAGAAAATTAGGTAGGCGGAGTATACCGAAGAGAATTCTGGGAGAAAGAAGGTTAGAGGAAGAGTCGCCATGATGCTCCCACTCCAGACAGACGCAGGTTAAGATCCTCTCTGGTAAGCCAGCTCATGGGCTACACAGAATATTAGAAATGGGTTAGAACAATATGTAAGAGCTAGCCAATAAGAAACTGGACCTAGCCAGGCCAGGCAGTGTTTGAAAGAATACAGTTTCCGTGTAATTATTTCTGGGTATAAACTAGCCATGCGGGCGGCCGGGTGCCGGGGACGCAGCCCTGCCGTCCCTATTTCAACAGATGGCGCCCAGACGTGATGGGCTAAATCCACTTAAAAACCTGAGAAGGCTTAAAAATAAGGGAGAGAGAGTTTAACACAGATTTTTGCTGTTTTGTTGGTGGCGTGCTGTAGAGAGATTCCTGATTCAGCAACAGCAGCAGAGAAAAAAAGCTGCGTCATTTTAAAGCGCGGCTTCCTGGGGGCTGTGCTGCCAGCATGAACTCTGGCTTTAAAGCATTTCAAGGCTTTTATGGGACTGGATGTTTGTGTTCCGCTTGGGATCGGAGGAGAGTGCTCTGAGACCGTGCAGATGGCTCAGAGCTCCCCGCCTGCACCTGGGCAGAAGGCAGAATTAGGCTTAGGCAGGCAGAAGAGCATGGCGGATTCCTGCCGCCATACAGAGACGCGTTTTCAGACTGCGCAGTGCTCTGCATGTCAGATTTGGCTGTAACTTGGATGAAAAGAGTTTCTGTGCTGCACACTCAGTCTCAGAATTAAACTGCTGATTGCGGCTCCAATGTGAACTGCTGTGTGCCTGGAACTGTGCTCAGCTCAGAAGCACCAAATGACTCTGAGGCTGGAGCGGCTGCTCCAAGCTGAACTGTGCTGATCTCAGGCAGGAACTACCGTAATTACCTTAAAACCGTGCAGTTAAGGTTTAGACTGGGCAGGACACAGGCAGTACCGTATTACCTGTACATGGTGCAACTTAAGTTTTTAAGAAATGCTTAACATTTTAAGAAATGCTCCTGTATAGTAAAGAAATTACAGATTCACAATAAAACAGATTCAGACACTGTTGGATAAATGTACGTAGGCTTGGGAAAGAGAAGAAAAAGAATATAAAGAATAAAGTTAATGTCTTAAAAAGAAAAAGGGTAAAGTCTTTAAAGAGACAGAGTACAGAAGTACAGAGAGTTATAGATTAAAAGAAATAAAGAAAAATAAGCCACGTAAAAATGGAAAATTCACAGAGAGTCTGGATTATGTACATTGTGTTTTCTTTAAAATTTTTGACTGTAAAGGAGCTAAGTACAGAGAGACATTTCATTATATGGGCTGCCAAGCTAAACCAAAATGGATTTCATGAGGGTATTATGATTTCAGAATTTGGGTCTAAGGATATGATGCTTTGGAGAGGGTCTTCTTTTGTTTTTGCAGAGGATGAGACCCTGTGGATTGCATCTATTCCGATTTGGTATGATAGACCACGCCCTCCTGAAAGGTTGCTGTGAACACCCTCAAAAAATTGCTTCGCTCAATTGCCAACTGAGATGAACCTGGCACACAGGTTACACCCTAAATGATCTGATTAACAGCGCCCCTATTCAGCAGGAAGCAGTTTGGAGAGAAAAAACTACGCCCATGTTCCCAAATATTGTTTATAAATGTTCTTTTACATTTAAAGGGGGATATGATATAGATATGAATAATTTGCATTGGTATGGATTTTATGGTCGATTTTGTTATATGTATATGTATTTCTGATCTTGATTAAGGTATTGTGATTGTGTAGTTCATTTAAAAATGTAATGTATAATTAGGAAATATAGGTTGTTAATGGATAATCATTGCTAATAGTTAAGCTTGTAGTCATGTTAATTAGATTTTATAGATATATAGAGATATATTTCAGTTAGATAGGCATTCTTCATATCTCTCAAAGGCTGCAGAATATGGCATTTAAAATATTTTAATAACTTAGGACTTTTCATGACAAGGAGACACGTCTGCTCCTGGCAGCACCAGCTACTTCAAGAGGAAGATGGGCATCGAAGAGGATCCTTATGGAGTTTGATAGCCATTTGGACAAGAAACTGTTCTTGCCTGGACTGTTGCATAAACTGGACACAGAGAACCCACAGAGAGAGGACTGCTGAACTTGCCTAAAGGTGAGATGGTCTTTCCGGGTTCCTGATTCATGAAAGAGTCTGCGAGACATTCTGCAGGACACAGCAGAAAATGACTGAACTGTCTTTGAAATTTCCTGCTTCATGGAAATGTCTCTGGATACCATGGGCCTGTAGGCCGAAGATGGATGCCCCAACGGTACAGAGGAACTTTGGGTGACTGTCCAGGCAGCGAGATGTCTCTGTCATTTCTAGAGTTTTCTTATTTCTTGTTTGATAGGTAATATTATATCCTTCTGGAGTCTTTGATGGAGTTGAAGAATGAATAGATAGTTATAGTTTTCCTTTGTTATGATAAAAGATAAAATAGATATAAATATTGTAACTGTAATTCTTACTTGATAACTGTTTTGTTATATGTAATTTTACTATGTTAAAGTTAAAGCCTTTCTTTTTTTGTTTAAACGGAAAAAGGGGAAATGATGGAGGTGGGTCTTGTAATAATAAAGAAACTGCCTTGGCCCATTTTATTGGATAGAAAATTAGGTAGGCGGAGTATACCGAAGAGAATTCTGGGAGAAAGAAGGTTAGAGGAAGAGTCGCCATGATGCTCCCACTCCAGACAGACGCAGGTTAAGATCCTCTCTGGTAAGCCAGCTCATGGGCTACACAGAATATTAGAAATGGGTTAGAACAATATGTAAGAGCTAGCCAATAAGAAACTGGACCTAGCCAGGCCAGGCAGTGTTTGAAAGAATACAGTTTCCGTGTAATTATTTCTGGGTATAAACTAGCCATGCGGGCGGCCGGGTGCCGGGGACGCAGCCCTGCCGTCCCTATTTCAACATGCTCTAGTAAGAGGCTGGAAAACTGAAATTCTGAGAGGAATGAGGACTCTGGAGGCCCACATCAAGAGGTTTCAAAGGAGAAATATATTAGCCATTGGGTTAGAGGAGAGTCCTGTGATGTGAAATTTTGGCAAAAATTTAGTTGCTTTTTGCTTTTGTTTCTAAGAACTTACCTCAGGCTAAATTGAGAAAAAAAGTACCTGAGAGAATTCTCTGTCTAGGATCTCACACATCTAAAATCAGGATGTTGACCATAGTGGATTTTTATCTCATGTATGGGAATGTTGGTATAATTAAGCTTCTTACTTGGTTAAAGAGCTGCTTAGGTAGATTTCCATATCTTAAGGTAAAGTGAAAGAGTATAATTGAATTTGCAACAACTCTCACTGTAGTATCTATTAGTGTTCGAATGAACAGCCAGGGGTGGAATACCTCTATGTTTCAGAACCTATTCCATTTGCATTTCTGTGACCATCTTCATGGAATGCCCACTAGCACTTCATAATGGCTAAACTCATACAAGTATGCGGAATGCTTGTTGTAGACTTTAAACTACTTTATTCAAAATTATCTATTCAAGTTGAATGGAGGTTTCTAATATCTACTATCATCTCTTCCACTACAGTGAGTAGCCAGGAATCCCAGTATAAATATTACTCAATTTGTTATTAGATTTAGATATGTTAATTTAGGATAAATGTATTTTATCTTCTTTGAATAGTTAATTTTGCCACTAATTTACAGAGAACCCAAACATTTACATAGAAAAAGGTTATACTTACTATTTGCCAAAAGCGAGAAATTTAAAATTTTAAATATTCAATAATAAACTAAAGCATTTTTCAATGAATATAATACACCTTTAGCCACAGACTTTAAAGTATAAAAGAAATAAGCATGAATCAGCACACATATATATGTATATATACATATATATCCTATATGTATAACTATCCTATATGTATACTATGCATATCCTATATGTATAACTCACAGTTAAAAGGATAGAATAGTAAATTACTGTGGGATAATGCTCTTGTACACTGTAAAGATTTGTCATTCATATTGGTTTAATAAAATGCTGATTGTTCAGTAGCCAGGGAGGAAGTATAGGTGGGGTGACCAGACTAGGAGAACTCTGGGAAGAGGAAAGGCACATGAAGTCACCAGCCAGACACAGAGGAAGCAAGATGAGAATCATTCACTCATAAATAAAATGTTGTTGAATATGTTTGTGTATCTTTTGGAAAAGGCAAAAAAAGAAATGAAAATAGTCTTAAAATATATGTAAAGTATCTCTAGTGTATAGTTTATGTATGACTTTAAATTGTTTCATTTGTAACTGAAGTGTTAACATGATTTAACATATAGAAGCAATATATATATGTGTACATACATGACATTGCAAAAATATCTTTTCAAAGTCAACACTCTCAAATAATTTGTCATATGTAAGCAACACAAGCATTTAAGCACTCCAGTGTTCCTTAGATGAACGGTTATCACAAATACTTACCTACAGTATCACACGGCTCATCTTTATGGACACAGAAATCTTTCCTAGAAAGGAAAGTAGAAAACCAAAGTAAAGATATATTCGTTCAGACAGCTGCCAATCATCATGACTCATCGTCACAGTGACATGAGCCACACTGTCTATTCCCTCAAATTTAATATAAGTCAGATTAACATTAAGGAATAGATCTGAAAAAATGATCAATGCAAGTTTAATAGTAATGATATATTATTTAGTCATGAGATATATTCCTATTTAATAGACACTAGTTCAGAGATAAAAAGCCTGCTTTGTTTGGCATTTTTTCTGAAAAATTTCATTGTGTTGTTACACAAAATAGTTTATGATGTTGGGAAATGATTTACCATATGACTCTTTCATATGACAAAGGAATTTCAAGGTTGAGAGTTTATAGGTAAGGAATATAATTTAAAGTCATCCACAGTTTTCGTTCCAAGATTGTCAAAAACTCATTTTTGACACTGAAAAGCATTTTTAAAAGGGCATGAGAAAATTTAGCATTTTACATAAATGGGCTCTGTGAATTGCAGTACTGTATGGTCAAGAGCATTCCTTAACTACTTAACATTACCGAACAGTCTTGCATTCATCTAAAGCACAGAGGCACAGCCCTATATATTTATTGTGCAGAATAAATAATCTAGCAATGTATAATCATTTAAAATATAGGTTTATCATGCAATTAAATGAGTTTTACACAAGGTATTAAAACAGTATCAGACATATAGTAATTATTGAGATTTTTGATGGATTTTTATTGCTATGTTTCTTGTACCTAATATATAAGTGATATCCCATTTCTTAGCATTTAAGTTCTTATAACTTTTACTCTCAAGATTACTGACCCACACCTGGAAGACATGGTTTAGACTCTTCTTTTATTTTAA